CCACAGATCTGTCACCTTTGTATCTACAGCACCAGAACGGAGTAGCAGTTCAAGGACAGAAATCTTTACCACCATCATAAACTGTATAACCTATGTTTACCCTGCCTGAAATACCAGCTGTTTCATCCACCCAAGAAAGCCTAGAATCTTCAACTAGATGAAGAAAAACAAGGCTATTTTGCTATTCTGACCATACTGCTCTGCTGGTAACAGGTTCTAACAGACTTTAACTTTTCCTCCCTTTCCAGTTCTTTACTTTAAACTATTTCTTCAGGGGAGTTTGGGGTTACTAAACTAAATACCACAAAGAGAGAGGCTGCAGCCTATGCAGAATAAATGATTTAAGAACTGGGCTTGGCTGATTTATTTTTTCCTCTGTCTTGGAGATAAAAAGAAGGAACACATTTTAGTAATCCCTGCTCATTTTCACGGCCATTCTTTCACCTGTAACTCAAATAATGAAGTCATTTGTTATTTATATTGCATTTTCCCCTCCATTCTAGATTTCTAACGATCTGACCCTTCTTTATGGCCATGACAAAGCCTGAAACCGGTGCGGACTTCCAATAATTGAACGATATAAAGAAAAATCTTTAACTGGAATGAAGCAGATGTTAGCTTTGTGCAGTCCCCTAACTTGATTATTCTTTGGACATGTTAGACAAGCATTAGTGATTGATAATGACGCTAATTAACCCCTTTCCTTTCCAAAACAGTAAACCAATGCCAGCAGGATTCTGCAAACAACATGCACAAAATACAGCGTATATCAGTATCTGTTCAAAGTGGATCAGGGACACAAGTTCATAGTCCAGTGCTTGACAAAAATCTTACCCTGCTGACACCAAGCCAGCTCCAAATCTTCTCTAAGAGTTAACAGCTCCAGGTGCTTGCAGGACAGGGAGCAGAAACAGCCCTTTCACACAGAAGAGGTGCACAGGACAGAATTGGAGGCACCATTTATTTTTTATACTTCCAACCTTTCACATTTGATTATCAAGCCACTTTAAATCACTCTGCCCTCACTAGCTGGGATGGGTTTCATGTTGCTCCCTGTCCAAAGGGTGCTGGTTATTTTAGCTGCACTTTGCAAATGCGAGGGCTGAGGCTCTGGGAATCTGGTCTGGGCTGAGACATGCACGTACTGAGGAGGGAAAGGGAAGTGCACATTCTGGAATTTAAATGGGAGGCAGAAGACAAGTAAACAAACAAGGAGCTGATCTGATTATGCAGTCGAATTTATCATGGACAATAAAGAAATTGCCTTTAAATGTAAGGGTTTGGATAACTGAATACTCCTAGCAAGTGAATAAAATGTATTCAATTAACTAAAAACCTTGTGCACTTCTGAACTGAAGTGGAATCGACTGTAATTGATTTATTTGAAACCAGAGGTTAAGGACTGAATTAGCTAAGTACAACTGGGTATTTCAAGCCACTGACTTCTCAAATGTCAAATCCCTTCTATTTTAAATATTATTTCAGCTGCGGGGCATTGCTGTCCTGATGGCTGTTCCTCCAGTTAAATCTCAAATTATATTAATATTTGATTTTTGGAGGGTGGGGTAAATTACGGTACAAAGAGGAGGGCTGTCCTTGTTCACGGTGAAGAGCACCAGGCTGTATTTTGGTTCACATGTAGGAATTAGCTTAGCATGGCAGCTATGGTCTAACATTTAGCCACCACTCACCCTCATTTCAACTGATCTGGGGGGAAAAAAAAAACAACATGTTTTTGTTTGGTATATAAAAGCATGACCTAGAATTTCATTGCTGCACCTCAATCACAACGTTAAAAATGCACCCAAAGAATGCTAAAGTAATTAGCACGTTTTGGTAACTGCATATTGGTCACAGCAGACGAGGCTGAACCAAAGCTAGTCTGATTTCCATTATCGCCTGTAAAATCCTTCCTTAGAAATAATTGTAATAAAGAAATCCATGCAAGGTCATTTCATTTCTAATTTTTGGTGGCTTGCTAATGCAGCAGCAGGATGCTTAAAATGTGCTCTCCTAGCATAAAGTAGCTAATTATATCTTTAAAACATTATTTATTATTACCTTATAATGTTCTAGCATAAGACTGCTTTATACATTGCCCAGTATAAAACGATTATATTGGGTACAGGTTTCAAAAAGTAACAAGCATCTGTAAATCCAGATATGAATGAATGGTATTTAATAAGATTGTTTTTGTTTAAAAATGAGTATTTATGTGTTGCTGTAGAAAGAGCAGCAATGTATTGCTGTTTATGAATGCTATTGTGCCTGAGGTTAGGATCCCACACACAATCTGAGATGCAGCCAAGAAAAACAGCCCTGATAGACAATGCTTCACTTCACCTGCTACAATACTGTGCATTTCATTTATGTCAAGAATATGTACAGTTAGGGTTCATTCACCTCATTATTTTGTTACATCTACTTTACGGTTAACCAGTCTCTCTTGGAAATAATAAATAACTGTTTTTAAAACAATTGCAGCTTTGCATTCAAAAGATCCACTTTCAATTTATGAAAAAAAAATATTCACCATTTTTATAAACTAGCTGGCTCTTGAAAATAGAATTTAGACTCCACCAACTCTCTTTCTGCTTGGAAAGATTGATTTTACACTGCCTTCCATAAGTAGATTACCAAAGCAAAATGAAACATCTTGGGCTTTATCTAATGCTTTGCTTCACCAGCTCTACCAAACGTCAAAATATATGAGTAAATGTTAATTCTCTGTGCAGCTTTATTGTAAACATCTCCCTCTTAACCTCCTCAATTTCTGCCTGAGCGAAAAGGGGGAAAAAAGGAGAGAGACAAAGTCAGGGAGGAAAGGAAAGAGAAAGAGAGAAAAATCAGTCACCACCACCAAAATACCATCAGCACTTAAAGGAAACCCTCTCTTTAAAATGCCTTTACATTCTAAACTGCATTAAGTCTCCCTTCCTATGATATAACATAATCCAGCCTGATCCTGACTTCACCTACCCTCCGGGCCAAAGAAAATAGATTTAAAATCTGAATTCTCACATGTTTTTACAGCCCGTCTTCAAGATGTACACTCCATTTTTTTAAAGCGAAGTTCCCTATTTCACAACTGGTTTCCACAAGAAGAAACTCAAGATAAAAATTTCAGTCCCTTATAAACTGACACAACCATCTCAAAATGTCAGTCTGTGCATTCCACTAAAACACGAACCATCAATCAGAAATAATCTGTCTCCTGCAAGATTTCACTAAAGTTCACAACCGTGAGATGATTTTGTTGGCATCGACTACGGAGCTTTTCTATTTAGTTGAGGGGGAGGGAGCACCCAGCTCTGATTCATCAGTATATAATTTTTTTATAGCATTAATTTTCAGTATTTGCTCAGTAGTGATTCTTTTTAAAGTGTCCTTCTTGAGATGTGTTTTTTAATCTCTGCTCTCCGTTAGGACAAGTACATGCACAAAATTTTATAGGCTTATAATTCTGTACGCTATATATATACATAAATAAAAACCTAGAGGTCAACATAAATAAAATAAAACTTTATTTTTTAAATAAAATTATGTTTTGGTTAAAGAAAAGATAGTGTGTCATTTTGTTAGTAGTACAGACAATTTTTTATCCAAAAGAATACATTGTGCTTTATTGTGTCATTTGTCTGAATACAGACTCAGTGGAATATCTAAATGATACCCTGCTCTGAACTCCAAGTTGAAAGTAAGTTTTTATTATACTTGAGGGAAACAATGGGTTCAGCTGCTTATTGCAAGGAGCAATTGTCAAGGGAGAGTTAAACTCAATTACTGTAACCATACTGAATAAAAAATACTGCCAAGAACAAAAATACGCCTGGGTAAAGACAGCTACTGAATAAAAAAATCGACATAAAGCGTATCAAATATTTATTTATCTGGGCAACAAAGGACTATGATACATTGATAGGCATGGAAACTACTGCCGGCACAACTCAATACAATACAACTATAACTGCTTCCAATATGGCCAGTGGAAATACAGGATACCAGGTGGTCCCGAATGTTTGAAGTTCTTTGGGAAAAAAAATAAAAAAAAGAAAAGAAAAAAAGCAGAAAAATAAAAACAAAAGAAAGGGAGAAAGAAAAAAAAAAGAGGGGGAAAAAAAAGGAAAGAAAAGCTAAATCTGTTTTAAAAGAGAATATTAATTTATTGCTCTGTTGGTGCTTTCGGGAGAAGGACAGTGGATAAAAATAACTTCTTTCATTTTCCACAACACATAAGGGTTGTAAAACCACTAATATGTTTAAAAACCTTGCCAGGGTCCAACATCACTTTATTTTATCTTCAATGAGAAACTAAATGTCATACTAATTATATATAAAAATTCATGTTTTTTTATTTGTTCAGCTGCTTCATTGTCGCCTTTAACATGCTACAACAGGGCTAAAAATGATGAATCCCAGAGAAAAACCCCCAAAAAACCTCTGATATCTAAATAAGTACCATGAACCACATGATGAACTAAGAGGGGAAGATTTAAAACCCACTAAACAAGAGGTAAACGAGATCACCAGATAAATAAAAAAAGGCTTAAAACAAACTCACCATATTTACAATTCCCATTAAATTACACATAAATAAATATATACATACATGAACACTGATTCCCTTATATAATAACCGTGAATCGTGTTGCAATAGAAAGTTCAAGTTGGTCGCTTTACCTTGGACAGGAAAAAGTTCTACAACTGAAGATATGACATGGAACCGCTTGTGTTTTGTGTTCAAGTTTATTCACAATACTGATAAAATGTCATCAGTCCTTTTTGCCTTTCGTATGTCTCCTGTTGCTGTTGTACTTTTTCGCTTTTTTTTTCTTTTTTAATATGGCTACAATCTTAACTGAAGTTTATGTAAGGGAAGGTGGTGATTCAGTCCGGTGAAGCTCATAGAATTTTTAAGTATTATTTATTTCTTTTTGTTTGTTTTTTTTTTAATATATTTTTAGAAAAAAAAGTCCTTTTCTTTTTTGTTTTGTTTTTTTTTTGTTGTTTTTTTTTTCCTCCTTTTGTTTTATTTAAAAAAAAGTTCACAAACTCAAGACAGAACTTTTTTTCTTTGCTGGCTCCGTCCCCCTGTTCTGTTCTCTTAGGCTCCAAACTGGGGTAAATCGATGGTGGCAATGGGGAGTCGGGGGTAGGGGGAGGATTTAAGAGGGAGCAAATGGAAATGTGGATACTGGGAAGGGGTGCAGAGAGAGGGCAGAGCAGTCCTGCGGAGTCAGAGAACAGGACTGGCAGAAGGACGCTCATTCTGTTGCTGTAGCCTGGGGTGCTGGGTGCAGGGGAGAGGGAGGGAGATGAATGGATCAATGGGCTATGAGGGGGAAGGGAGAGGAGTGTGTGTGTGGGGGGATCCTCACTTTCGGTGCTTCTCCTCTTTGTCGCCGCTTTTGGTGCTGTTGTCTGTGTGGCTGTTGGGATTGTTGCTGAGGTACATTTTGTCCATGGCCTTGAGCGCCTCGGTGAGATAGTTCTGCAGGGCGGTGACGGCAGCACACACCGCCGGGCTCCCAAAGCCGTGCGAGATGAGGTTGAAGTGGGTCAGGCAGCTCTGGATGCCCGGCTCCAAAATGGGGTTGGGCCGCGAGTTCCCCAGGGGAGATCGGTCCTGAGCCAGCAGGTCGGTGAACTCTTTACAGATCTGTCTGTAGCATAAATGGAGCAGAGAGACGGAGGGAGGGAGCAAGGGGAAGAGAGAGGGAGGGAAATGAACCATCACTGGTGGCAGCAAAGCCTGTGCATTCTCCCTGCCAGATTACACAAGCCCCTGGATCAAGGGGGCTGCTGCCCCCGAGTGCAAACACACTCTCTCACCTCTCCCTCTCCTCTCTATGCATCCTTCCCCCTAATTCTCACATTTCCCCAGCATGTACAAACCTCTTCCCTTCACCTTGCATGCACACACAACTGCACACCACATCATGCCCTGGCCCCAGCCAACACACAGGCAAATAACAGGCACATGAGAGACACCCGCCTCTTGCCTATCCCTGCTGATCTCCATATCTCAGCTCCCCAGCACTGTCTCCACAACCACACATTCCTGCTCAGCTAGAGTTTGGAGCACATATGCAGTTTAAAGTTTTCCAGCAGGCTGGAAGGTAATAGATGGGCCGCGCTCTCCAAAGGTAGGTTAAGGGATTTATCCACATCTTGGAAGATCCCTTTCCTTTGGGGTTGAGGGAGAAGAAACTAGAGAGAGGTATAGGCCTCTTTCTCCACAAGGCTAAAAGACACCTGTGTGCCAGGAAGAATGAGTGAGGGCAGAGAGGGGACTTGAGGCTTTAAATTAGGGTATTCTGAAACATTTATATATGCACATCTCTATCTCCAAATCCAAAGGGACCTTTCCACAGAGCGGAAAGCTGACGCTAACCAGGGTCTGGAAATTTCCTTCCAGGGAGGTGGAAAGGGAGGATACGAGGGCACAGTGCAGAAAATAGATTATATCATCCACTCACTGCACAAATGGTTGGGGAAATAACACACCTTATAGCAAGAGAGCTGAGAGGCATGTTGAAATAGTTGGTATTCTAAAACCCATGTTAATGTCTTCCAGCCATAAAGTGTCTCCCATCTTCAACCTGTGCCCTCTGGCACTGTGCCCTTTGGTGACACCTCCATTGGTAATTAAGGGCTACTAAACAACCCTTTTAATTTCCAGCAAACATACCATAACAATCATTTTCTTTTCACGCACCACCTGGAAATCTAGGCAGCCCCACCAGTGATAAACTCCACTAGCATTTTAACTGCATACAGATTGTCATTTAAAATATATGTTTAATATCCCTATATTTGCTAAGTAACAGAGCTGCTTAGGCAGAAAGAACCATTGCGGATTTTAATGAACTGAAATCAGTATAACATGCCAGTTTTATTTTACTCTCAATGGGAAGCCTTCCCTTTCTACCTAAATTGATAAGCTAAGTGAACAGGCCCAGAAAACGTTTTGCTCTGAAGAATTACTCCTTTTTCTGTAACTAAACACCCACCCACAATTTTCACAACTCGCTTTCAATGTAATCTGCACAAAGTGACTTGATGGAAACCAAGCTGGCTTATAGAGTTCTCCTATATCAGGAAGGCAAATACACCCCCTCACAATTTGCGAAACCATCAACCACTGGTTATGTGGCAAACAAATATGCTCACAAATAAAAGCCCCAAACCCGGGTTTGTTCCCCTCCCTCATTTCTGAGCAACATGCCAGAAAGTTAAATGTCTTACTTTGTAGCTAGAAGCATGTTTTTTCTTGTGACTTGCTCGTTTGGATCGGAATGTTGTCGGTTGAGAAATTCAGCTACTGCTTTGGCAGGAAATTCTGTCTCACAAACGTACCCAAAATCTCTAGCTAGATGTACTGCTTCTCCTGAATAGGGAGTCATGGGTGGAATGGAAAGAAACACACAGCTCATCAGTACACATCCTATAGAGGCAAAAATCCATTAGAAAAAAACCCAAAACCCAACTACAGTCTACTTGGGCTTTTCCTCTAAAAGGCTTGGACTTTTTCTCTTTGACAAAGGTAGGGCAAGAAATGCTAATTACATCTTATCTTTCAGGAGTTTTCTTTGCTTCAGACAAAGGCAATGGAAATGTGTATTTTCATGACAATCATTACAAGTGAAATCTCACATAAGGATTTTTAAAAGTTTACTGTTGACTAACAGATACTTGTAGACAGACAGGCTCCATTCACCTAGACTGTGTGCTTTGATTTACATATCCATACCTATAGAGAGATATTTATGTACTTTTTATTCACAGCTATTTACTCTGAAAATGTGTTTGCCTCAGCCACATCTCTATATTATTTTGCAATGCATCAATGATTAATATTGATCATAATTACTCCTAGAGCTGTTCTAAATAAAATGCATTAAACAGCTAAGTGTTTAAAATTTAACTTGATCGCATATAATTATATGTTCACCCCCAAACGATTAACCATGAGAATTTTAGGGTCATTCCACCGAGTCTGTCTGTTTTGTTGATTTTCAAATCTTTGGTTTTAATTTCCTGAACCAGTTGGTTTTTACTGCAGGGCTTCCTGCCATTAGCTCTAGCTCCGGAAGAACGCATGCGCCAATTAGAGCTTCAAAGCCTCAGTCCAGTGAGCTTGTTTCCATAAAATGGAGCGGATCATAAACAATAACAGTACCTAGAAAGTGCCTCATCGCTACAGGACTCAAAGCCCCAGCAATGTTTATACTATCATCCCCCCAAAATTAGCCACCATAGCTAAGTTATCTGAAGATCGGGCCTCTGGTTTTGTTTTTTTAAAAAATCATTCTTTTAAAGCCCTTGTATGTGAAAGCCAAACAGAACAATAGATTACCATAAAACCTTCTCCATATTCATTAACATCACAAATAGTGTTAAGCATCTACCAAATCTAGACTTTTTACAAGTTTTGCCCTCGTGATGTGTTAATGCAATCGCAAAGCCCTTTCAAAAACATGAAGATGCGGTAATTTTCACGCAATATAAATATAGTTCGTTCACTAATCCTGATGTTTAAAGCCTGGCATCGCAGCGCTTCTTTCCCCGTCCCCTTTGAACATGAAACATTTCTCGTAGACCGTGAAGCAAAAACAAAACAGATTCCCGCCTACACAACCAAACTTAAGCTAAACCTGCGCAGCTCAGGCTGAGTTTAAAAGTGCTTTGCAAAATGAACCAGTCTAAAACGCAGTAGAACCCATAAGTAAGGGGAAAGGAGAAGAACTATTTGCATGCCTTGGGCATACTTTGTGTCAATTAGTGTGCGAGAGCCACTGCTTCAAAACTAAATAACTGTATATGCTTGAGGTTCCCACCTTCCAGTACAGACGGCATAGGACATCCCAAAGCATTAAAAGTAACTTGCACCTTTTCTGGCCAGAGCAAAGTAGAGGAGAACGATACAGCCAAAGGAACATGTGTTCTGAAAATGAAAACCAACAGGGAGTGGGGGCTGGTGGTGGTGCAACTTTGAGGCTTTCAGGACACCATTAATTCATGGCTGAGGTCAAGGATTCCCAAATTAATTCAGGAAGTAATGGTCATGCATTTCTCAAATGCAGATGTCAGAAAAGTTAAATGATTTACTGTTATGTGGCTGCAGGCTGGGAAGGAGAACAAACTTAAAGTAGCTGCAGTTTCTGACATTTAAAATTGCTTGGTTGTCCACCTGTGGCAGAAGGACAGCAGTGAAGTATCAGAGGCTCTGCTGCCTGTAACTTCCAACTCAACACTCGGGGGGTCTCTTATGGAGCTAAGCCTGCAGCCTCTCTTCATAGGCATCCTTCCCATGCTGCTCCCAATGAGATCTGCCTACTAGGTGGAAGGATTACTCACTTGAAAGCAAGATGGGGCCCTGAAAACATCTCTCAGAAGCTTAAAAGCAAATAAATGGCAGAACGCATTACTGAGTCTGCAGGACTCACTCAAGCCCGTTTCAGGTTAAAACAAAAAGCAAAGGCACACAATTAATATGTTCTTTTTCTAAGACATAGAAAATAAAGCCCTTCCAAATGCCAGTAAGCAGCACTGACTTAGGGGAAAGAAAAAAAAGCCATGAACAACCAAACATCAAGTTTTTTGGCAAAAGCAATAGGCACATTTTCCAAACAAGCTCTCCCAGCTCTTTGAGTCACTTACCCTCCACGAGTGATGTGAGCAAGGTAACGTTAGCAGCTTTACGCCTCCCGGCTGGCAGGTTTAGTCCTATTTTGTCCAGTTTCTCCCTCAGAGATCTCCCTCCGTTTTTAGACTTTGCCCTGCTCCACACAAGAAGGCATTGAGAAATGGGGCTTGAGGGGGGCACATGCTCCTGCTTTAGCTCCTGCCCACAGATCCCCCCAACACATCGCCTTCCCTTGGAGGGGGGTAAAGGGTTTGGGTACATGGAATGGGATAAATGGTCGTGGGTGGCTGAAGACCAACTGTTGCTGAAAGCTGAGTCTCAGACACAGGGATGGTTCTTTGGATATTTCCACGTCTAGGGAACAGGGGCCCTCACTAAAGTCTGGATCAGGCCAGGGCTGCTGAGGAGCTCTGAGGCAGCTGCCTCCGAGGTGCCATGGACCGAGGGGCAGCTTTTCCCCAGGTGTTACAGGAAGAGAAGGATTTGTAAGGCTGGCATCGCTGCCCTCACACCAAACCCTATGTGGCCCATCTATGGCTTTTTAGCAGAGCCCTGTACTAAGTGCTAAGTGGGCCTGTGGAGATGCGAGCTGCCTTAATTAATTCTGGATGTTATTCCCTGCCCGGGCGCTGCCTAATCGCCTGGGTGAGGCCACAGGGGTGGGAGCCCACGGCAGGGTGCCGGCCAGCAAACCACTCCTATGGGGCATGGGAGTGTCTGTGTGGGGTGTCCATCGCCGTGGCAGGAGAAGGGACACACAGGGGTCCCCAAAGCGGGGCACTGGGGACGACACAAGGCTGCACGTTGCCATGGCGACAGCGCACGGACCCCCCCCACCCCCCTACCGCGCTGGCGTGCCACCCCCGGCGGCCGCGCGTGCCCCGCCACCCTGGGCGCGGGCCGCCGCTTCCCCCCCGCGCCGACCTGCCCCGGATGAGGCGCTCGCATCCATGCCTCTTCCTTCCCTGCCGCCCTCCCTCTCCAGCACGGCACTCCCGCCTCCTCCCGCGCATCCCCCGCCCCTCACTCCGGAGCACTCCGTCCAGCAGGGAAGGCGTTGGAGGCACTACGCCGGCGGCGACAGGCGTCTCTGCACTTCGCCACCGTGACCTTTGTACTTGGAGGTGGAAGCTGAGCAAGGCGAGAGGCGGCCGGCACCTGAGCAAGAAAGACCTCGTTGGGGCTTCACCTCCACCCCGCCGAAGAGCGCGTCTTGTATGAGGGCAGATGGAGAAACGGACGTGTTTTAGACTTGGAGAGGGACACGGGGCCTGCAGGGAGGAGGAGCAGGGAGGTGAGGGTGAGAGCGGGCGGGAAGCCGCGGAAGGGAGGGGGAAAGCGACCCGAGCCGCTCGTGCGGCTGGCCCCGAGCCCCCGCACGCCCCCGCGGGGCACGCGGGGAGGGAGCGGGGGCGCCCCTCCGCTTTCCTCGTCGGATGGCGCAGGGAGAGAGGCGGGACAACCCTCGATCAGCAGCGGAGAACCGGCAGCCGGCGCAGGCTATCGGTGAATGCCCGTCGGTGCGGGACGTGTCCGGCGGCCCGGGCCGGGGAATCGCGGCTGCCAGTGCTCGCCAACGCGCGGGCAGCCGCCGGGCAGGCGGCGCAGACTCCGCCAGAGGCCACTCGCCAGCACGCGCGGCAACTTCTGGCGTGGAACAACCCGTAACGCAGCGGGGAGCCTGCTACCCCAAATATAGCCGGCCCTGCCCGGCGGCGGCGGGCGGGGAGGTGTCGGCTCGTGCGCCGCGCCTCGCTGGCGGTGCCCGCCGGCCTCGCGTCCCGACCGCCTTCCCTTCCTCCTCCTCCTCCTCAATCCGCACCGCTTGGCGGGCGCAGTCCAACCAAGCGGGGGGCTCTCTCCGTTTTGGATAGATCACTTGTGACATTAATAGCTCTGGGAAGGCTAATAGATACAACAGGAGTTAAACGAACTCTTGAGATTACTAATAAAAGAGCCAATTATCATGTCGACTTGGAAAGAGCATCTCTTAAGATTTATCCCTTGCACATCTAATTTGACGTGACAAAGGCTTTACGGGGAGGGGGTGGGGGGGCAGAATGAAACTTCAGGTTCGCTGGCTGTACAGCTATTAGGGTTAGAGAGGAGAGTGCCTCTACTCAGCATCTCTTCCGGTGGTGGCCAGGGTACCCAAATTCCAGGCGATCGCGCAGCCGTGGCACCCCTCAGAGCAGGCAGGAGCTAGCTATGCCTTCAGCCCTGCCCATTTTACTCCAACAGCAGCTCACTACACAGCATCCAAATGCAAATCCATCGCTTTCCACCGAGAATTGCCTTTGCAAAATGCCCTGTGCCACCTTTACTAATACTTCGGTTGTCCGAAGAAAGATGGGAAATGAAAATCGACTGAAAACATGCAATAAATATTTTGCTCGATTTGGGGACCAGCTTCCAAGCAATTCAATTCGAAGTGAAGCAAGCGCACGAAGCCAACGAAAACCAAAGCACCCTGACCGACAGGCATCAGTTTCAGAAACTGGCCCCTTGTTCTCCACCATTCCACCTCATCACCGTCGTGATTTAAGTAAGAAAACCCGAAGGAGGGGGAACAACAATTTCACTTTCTCAGCCTCGTTTACCAACAACGATTCAAGCCCACTGCTCAGCTAGATGCATGGGTCAAACCATGAAACCCAATTGTTCGCTAATGCACTAAAAGACCGGGTCGGATTTTCTAGATCATCTGCTAACATTTTTCCTCGTTAATGACAACAACAATTAAAATAGCCGGCAAACGTGGCCATTTAAGAGGGCGCATTTCAACCCACATCGCCCATTTTTCTTTCTCTGCTTCCAATATTTTGGCCAACAGTACATGCCAGAGGAAGGAGCCCGGGGCCGGGGGGGGCTGGAGGGGAGGGGGGGAGGCCGGGTAAGTCCTCCATTCGAGCAGTCCCCAGCCTGTGACGACATGTTTGGTATGCGCAAGGAAACGGCTTACCTTTCTTAATTACAGTTTGATCTGGGATGTTAAGACCGGGGTCTTCTACGTGCTGCAACAAAAGGAATAGGCAGGGATGTCAATGTACAACCACAACAAAAGGCAGGGAGGGCCGAGGTGGGATGGGGTGCGGGAGAAGTTGTGTGCCCCCCTCCCTCCTTCCCGGGCACGGTGTGGGGAGGGAAACAACAGATCCTGCACGGGGAGAGGGGGAGAAGAGGGGATTTGCGGGGATTTCCTTTATCGGGAGGAATCCTGCATCCCTCCCAGCTCTTTCCCGCGATCCCCAAGAAAAATATAATAAATCACTCACAAACCCCCGGGGCCCAAGTGGCCTCCAGCTTCTGCGGGCTCCCTCATCCCGTCCCTTCCCTCCTCCCCGGGAAGCAGCCCCGGCCCGGCCCGACCCTTCTCCGCCGCTACGCACTCTCCCGCGCCCGCGGGAGGGAAAGCACAAAGGAGTGGGGACCGGTGCGGTGCCGGGGGGGCTCACGCATCCTGCGCGGCCCCGGGCTCCCCCACTATTGTCCCCTCACAGGTTCCGCGGTCGCGCTACAGCTGGGGTTCGCGCGGCGGAGTCACGACGTGATTAGAAAGTCAAATGAAATCATGTTTTCTAATTCCAAAAACTGACAGGCAATATAATGTCTGGCTGTGTTTACAAATTAACACCAGTGCTGCTGAGATAGAAGATTTCGCAATCGTTACAAAACCCAGGCATTACCATTTAAAAAACTATTACTTCCTTCTCTAGTCTTTGTCCAACAATAATACTGATTCTAACATTTTCCATTCTGTCTTGGATTTATGCTCCTGTTAATTGTGCCTGATCTCAATGATTCCGGGTGGATGGTACTAAGTTGCTTTATTACAGGTTTTATTATACTCAATGCTCTCATTTGTAACTTGCCTAAAGTGCTTCTGGATTTAAGTATAATTAAATTGAGAAATGTTCAGAAATGACTACTGCTGCAGTTCTTGTGTTTTAACTATATGGGGAAATATGATCCCTTTATGCATGCACCCTAAACCCATAAAGTAAATGTAGTGTGGCATAATACTTTTATTTGTGTTATTTCTACACATATTCCATACAGGGAGGACTGTTAAGTTTAAAATCCCACAGAGATATTTATGATTAAATAATTTTCACCATCTACTTGACTTTCTTAAACATTTAGCAGTCGTTTTTATTAAAGATTAACTGTTGCAGCAACGGAAATATTAAAAAGACGACCCTCCCAGCCCAGATTTCTGTAGAGGATTATTTAAAAAAAATAGATAAAATACTCTTAAAAGATACATCCTCCTATTTTATACTTTCCCTCATGAAGCCTGCTGATTCAATTTTACAGAGAAAAAAATGGTTTGGCTGGCTCAAGGATTTAAACCAGATGGCATTCGGTTTTCACAAAGTATAGCAATGCTATTAATTCATAGATCTGCAGAGGAGGCTTCCAGAATCAGCCCACTGCCATGGAGCACAACTGAGGAGAGGGAGAATTCAAGAGAACATTTTAGGTCATGTTCTTCCTACAGCAATCAGGGGCTTGCAGTCAACAAATTAGTTTATTCTTACGATTGCCTCCATGTTATTTTATATCAAGTTTAAAGAATTGACCTGCTTTTAACGGATCCAAATTGCTTACTAAATCCTCCACTTTGGGAAATGTATGCGTTTATTGCAAAACTGCTAAACACAACCAGCAATTTTCTGTGGCTAATTTAGCCAGATGAGGGCTGTAATAAATTCACTATTTTCCCCAAGTATAATTTACAAAAGATTTCAAAATGACCCCCAAAAATAGGTAAGTTCATCTGAGCATTATCCTTGCAACATGAAACTGTACTCATTAAACTGTCAGCAAATATATTGTTGTAATATTTGATCCTGTAATTTGGGATGGCATTTCAGCAAAAATCACATCCAGATACCACAGTTCCCTCCTCCTCTTTCCTTCTGCAAGTCGAGCAGCTTCGGTCCCTCAGCACAAGCTCTGTGGGCTTTAATAAATTTATTGCCATGTTCTAATTCCATTTTCAGGGAGAAACCCAGAAAGATGAACTTTGATCATGACCGATCATGTTGCATAAGGCCACTTTCCTAACTGAACAATAGCACTGGCTTGCTTTGTAAGTAGCCTGTGTGCTAATGTCATGCTTAATTAGAAATCATTTTTTAAATCTGTATTTATCGATAACAGAATTAGGTCCCCCAAATAAAGCATCCTCCAATAGGCTCTCAACATTTAATTTAATATAGGGTGTAGCAGGTCTGGCTCAAATTCGATAACCTATAGCTAATGATTTATGAGGTCATCCCTTTGCACCACTACTAAAAGAAGGTGGCAGCGTTTTAGTATACCTCTTCCCTGATTTGTCAATTAATTCCTTTAGAGAAGAGGGTCTGCCCATACCCTTTATAACTTTGGATGCGGTTATCCTATATGCAAATCCTGTAATCGCGGGATACCGATTTTTCCTTCTCTGGCCACTTTCACCTACTTTTTTTTTCCCGTTATGTTTGCCTGTGAGGACATTTAATGACATCTCGCATTTCAGACTTGTGTTTTTCCCAAGGCAGCAAGAAATCCCCAAATGCACAGCCCTGTGGTGATATTATATATTCTTCCAATCGTAACAGCTTATTGTCATTGAGAAGGAAAGATATTGTTAACGATGACAGTAATTTGATTTATTTATATTTTAGCGGGCGCGTTAGCGGGAGGCATTGCGCAGGGACGAGCTGCGAGAACCTATTGTTCTAGGTGGGG